TGCTAATATTAAAAAGGTTAGATATATGATCAAGAATTAGTCAACTGGTTTAAATATAACTCAAGATTCCAAAAATCGAGCGTTGCGAAAGCTTTTCAATACATCCATATCTTTGAAAACTGACTTATAGGAGAATTGCTAACACCTAAGCGTTTGACAATTTTCGAATTGATAAGCATTCTAAATTTTTCAGTCACTAAGTTTTGGAGTTTCGAGTTTCGGAAGAGATTTCGGAAGGAATTTAAGGTTTCGGAAGAGGTTTCGGGTTTCAAATAGGGTTTCGGGCGAGGTTTCGAGTTTCGGATGAAGTTTCGGAAACTATAGTCTGAGACCCGAAACTTTCGGATTTGGCAAAAAAGGCTTCGGTGACCAACTCTATCATACGCACATAACTCTAATTAATAAATCTACTTATTTGACTATTTGTATCTTCATACGTATATACTTAGCCGTTTGTCTCTTTCGTACAAATCACTTAAATCCTTTTAACGCATAATTACCTTATATTTTACTTATTATCAATCGTCTTACATATCCGTCGCTAAAGTACCGAACTTATAAGAGTAGCTCGGGTGTAAGTGTTAGCAAATACCTAGCTAGGTATTGTAAAAGATATCGACTGCTTAAGAAATCTAAAAATTTTTCTAAAGACAAAGTGGCTGTGATAAGGACTTGCAACAGACAAGAAAATAAAAAAAATATCTCAATATAAAGAAAAAGACTATACTTTCTCAAATGTGTGATGAATACTAGTGAGATAGATGATAAAATAAATTCTAGCACCATGAGAATATGTAATACTGTATAAATAATATATTATATAAGAAAATACTTTTATTTCTAAGTCGTCTGAACTAAGAATTGGATCTGTTTAACCTCTTAAAGATTGTTTCGTAGTCCCATCTACGGCATTTATGTATTACGACTTACGACCTTATAAATCGATTGCTGTGCCGAATTATTATTTTTTTTTTAATTGATCATTAGGATACATTTGCGTCGTATGTACGTACGTACGTACGTACACTTTCGAGAATTTAGGAAGATAAGCTTTAAGAAGTATAAAATATTATTTTACATTGCTGAAAACATCGTCCATCTTACATAAAGGTCATTTATACGTAAATTTTCTACCTTACATCAAGGTCATTTATGCATAAATTTCAAAGTGATTAAGCATATGATTTTAAATTAAAAGTCAACTAATACTACTTCTTCCAAATCATCCAACATCCATGAAATATCTTCGGGATCTTCTATATTAGATACCATAAGGCTATCGTTTTCCGGATCATTCGACATCGACGTTACTTCTACTTCTAATGCAAAATTATGCATAAACAATATGATTTTATAATATTTGCATCAATAAATTCGTTTTTAACTTACGGGATTCGTTAATCCTTGTGGATTCCCCACATTCTGAGCCTTCTTTATTAACCGTCAAATCATTTTTATCAGAACTACCAGCATTGGTCTGATTGCCACTATTCGAGCCTACTCCTTCATTATGTCTATAAGTAAGGTCAACTGATGTAGCATGTGATACTGGGCAAGGTAACTTATATATTTTAAAAAGATCTTATTTTTATTGCCAGATATTTTTAAGGAAATAAATAGCCTAATAATAATAAGACACTAACTGTTGACTCTAGATTGTTTAATTGTTCAGGCGTTGATATCAAACAAATGTTGGTGAGTGTTACATTAAGATATATATTTTCAATTGAACGAAGGATTGCTACCTAAATTGAAGGGAAACATTGTAAAGATATATATATATATATATATGATAAGAATTACGAAGTAGTCTTTAGAATAATTACAAATTCTTTTTGTTGCAACACCTACATTCTTTAACACAAGAATTGATCCAAGTTGAAGTTGTTGACTGTGAACTCGAAGAACTTTTTCATGAATAATCGCTTGCATTTTACCTTGATAATAAAAGAAATTAGTACTATAAATTATATATATTCTATAAATTTTTATACATACCTGTATAATCTGCAATAGTAGAAATTTTTTTATTTGAATCTAGTTTAATTATTTTGCCAACAGTAATCGGAATTTTGATTTTGATGTCTTGCCATTGCTGCAATACTTTCATCGTACTCCGGTTGCAATTTTCTGCTAATTGTTTAGCCATGATAATAATAATACATGAAAATTTTATTTAAACGCGTAAGTAAAAAAAAAAAAGCAACATGTGATTTTTGTTACACAAATCAAGGGTTCTCATAGTGGAAATCCATTCTTCTTTTGCTATTTCGATATCTTTGAGAGGTTCAAGAGGTTTGGAACAAGATGAACTTCCATTCCTATAGCGTTTCATTACATTATTGAGAGTCATGTCATTAAAATTTGCTAATGCGTGTCTCGTAGTAAACGCTCGAACATCATTACGCTTTTTCAAACCAAAATGTAATGTCATGTATTAATATATATAATAAATTTATATATTGATTTGTAAAAAAAAAAAAAAATAGCAGTTGAATTATTTACATAATCACTAGGAAGATAAGCTTTAAGAAGTATAAAATATTATTTTACATTGCTGAAAACATCGTCCATCTTACATAAAGGTCAT